GGGAGAAAGAGGGACAATTTCCTCCGGAGTGATTCAACTGCCTCTGAAGACCTGCTGGAGGGTCTGCTATGGGTCGGTTCTGACTTGATGGTACCCAACATACTTGGAAGACACAATTTGAGAAACTTGGAAAGCACGTATTCTACTTAGCCTTCATTTTCTATGATGTGCACAAGAAAGATCCTCTTCTTGCCAGTTTGGATTGAACTGTGACCCATGATCAACTGGAGGAATCAACTTCTTCCACCATTTACTGGATGTCAACCAACCAATTTAAATCTGGATATGCTAATCTCCCAAGATTAGTTAGAGCTGTGGTTAATGTGAATTTTTACTATTACTATTTTTAAATTTTATATTTTAATTAATTCCAAATTATATTGGTGTTTTCTATTCAATCATTCATCCATATTTTTAATATTAATTACAATTGTTGTATGTAGTTAGTAAATGGTAATGTCTGATCACCCACTGTAGTATAATGCCTTTTTCTTCACCCAACTTACCTATTTATTATTACTCGCTTCCCATCCCTCATATCAATTAAGATGTATCTGAAGATATCTCATGTTGTTCTTGTTGTTATGTGCCATCGAGTCATCTGCTACTCATAGGGACCTATGTACAACAACCCTAAACCCTGCTCTATCCTGTGCCAATTGCACTGTCTCTGACACACCTACCCCCATCATTGAGGGTCTTCCCCTCCTGCACTGTCCCTCCACCCTCCCAAGCATGATGTCCCTCTCCAAGGACTGGTCCTTCCTTACAACATGTCCAAAGTATGTCAGATGAAGCTTCAGAATCCTTGCCTCCAAGGAGCAGCCTGGCTTCACCCTCTCCATGACAAATCTGTTTGTTCTCTTAAAAACAATAAAATAAAATATTTGTGCTGAAGTCCAACAGGACTCTAAAGCAACATGGGAGCTGAATAATGAGACAGATTTCTGTATTTGGCTCTGTTTTAGAGATAAATCAGGGAGGGGAAGACCCTTGAAGTCTAAAGAAAACACAAGCCAAAATTTCTACCAGTCTGAATCTGAAATTCACATCTCCAGCATTTATTAGTACAGCTGCTCAGTATTCTAGAATAAGTATGCCACTTCCTTTATGAGAGTGCTTTCTGTAGGATGAGCTGTGCTGACACAAAGCATGCATGTGGAATTCTGTCAAAACACTGACAAATTTATATTCTGTTTCTTCTCAAAGACATGCCTGGGAGGAAGTTCAGCCAGATGATAAAATTTCTCCTCACATGGGCATGTTGCTAGGAGAAGCTGGTCATTGGAGAGGGACATCACCCATGGAAAGACAGAGGGTGGGCAAAGGAGAGGAAGACTCTCAACCAGGTGGACTGACTCGGTGACTGTCACAATGGGCTCCAGTGTGTAAGGAAGTGAGAAGATGGCACAGGACAGGACAAGGTTCAGATCTGTTGTTCATAGGGTTACTATGGGCCGTACTCAATCTGACAACACCTAACAATATCTTCTCCAAGTTGCTAAAACTCTTTGCCAGAGTTGGGATTGTGTAGGCTTACTGATACCACATTTGAACCAAGAAGTTCCCCAGGAAACCCTTCAGAGCAGAACGACTTACCTGCAATGCCTTCATGCTCATGATTTCCACCCCACATTTCTTGCCACGTTCCACCAGATCACTGCCATAAGAGTCCATAAGCACTACGATCTTAAGGCTTGGTATTGACTTATTCTCTACACCATCTATTAAGACTTTAGCTTTCTCTACCTTGTCAATAAAAACCACAGCAAGCTCAGCTGGAAAAGAAGAGATACGACAATGAGGAGAGTTCTGAGATACTAAAAGCTTAACTCTAAAATTCTTAGCACAAGATTATTTTAATTACTACATTCTTTGAGTAGACTAGCAGATGCACATTTAAATGTAAAAGTCTTGTCAAATCAAATATAAGAAAATAAGGAGGGAATGAACTTAACCAGTAAACAGAATGATTCAAACAAGGATCACAGACATACCTTTGTTGATTATATAAGTGATCGCTTCTGTTCCAAGGGTATCATAAAGTGGGACCACCACCATGGAGTAAGCAAAGCAGCCCTGCTCGATAATCACCCACTAAACAGAAGGTCAGGGAGAGAAACCAGATGTTACAATACAATGACTCCGAGAACCATGTCCTAGAGAGATTCAAAGTGAAAACATTTTTAACTTCAAAATAAACATTTGTGCAATTATTACTATGTGGTAACCACCATGAGGGACTGATAATGGAAATAAAATCTCTGTCCCTCTTCTGAGAAAGCGACTGTAATGTGCTTAAAAGAGTGAAGGCAAAAATATGAAGAGATACTTAATCACAGAAGACTGACTTGAGTTGGGACAATCATTTAAGGGCTGAGAGGGTTGCAAGAAGCTTCATGGGAACTTAACTGAGCCTGCTCTTTTGCAAGAGATGTTTGATGTGGAGAGCAAATGAAGGAGATCTTAAAATAAGGGAATGGGTCAGAGAGCAGTCTGGTTTGGCTAACATGATGGTTCTGGCTGGTAAGAGGTGAGCTAGAGCTAGGCTTTGGCCATAGCGGTGCCTGGTTCTAGTCTGCAGGTAATGAAAAGCTACTGCATCTTTCCAAACAAAACAGTGGCTACGGGTTTGAGAAAGATTACTCTGGCAGCAATGTGTAGATGGCCTGGGAGCAAGAAAAGGAGGACACATACTTGTCTAACAGGATACCATGCTGGAGTATTGTCCCTGTGGACTGTCAAAAGAACTAACAGGTATGTCATGGAGAAAGTGCAGCCAGAGTGCTCCCTGGAGGTCGAGATGGCAAAGCTTCATCTCACATACGCTAGGCAAGTGCTTGAGCAGGTGGAGGGTCACTGAGAAAGGGGTAGATCTTCAACCAGGTAAGACTGACAGAGTGCCTGCAGCAATGGGCTTAAGTATGTTGGAGGGTGTAGGGATGGCACAGGTTAGGACAGGGTTCAGATCTATTGTTCACAGGGTTGCTATGACCTCAACAACAACAATAACAATAACAACCACCACTTTTGAAAAGTGATGAAAGAAAGAAGTGACATTTTAACTCTATTGTAACTTTTCATCTTGCCTCTAAACTAAAGAGCCACATAGCTAAGATGCAAATGTACTTAAAACGCAAATTTTTTTTATGATCACTCTGTACCTCTAGCTGTAGTTTCAAAAGAAACTTCCCGCTGAACCCTGACATGCAGCACAGAACTTACAGTTGCTGTGGGCCTGAGTGCAACAACTCACTTTGCCTGAATAGTTTTTCTTTTCTCCACCCACCTCCTGAACTGGTTTTCAAGCTACCCACACTGTGGTCAAGCCCAAGCCTGGATGGCAGGAGGCAGCCTGGAGCGCAGAAAATAGCTGTGGTCTGAGATGCCCTACTGTTTGCTCCACCCATATACACACACTGTTTGATGGGAATCCACGTTGCTCCTGACATTGCTCTGCACCCCCAATATATTTCCTTCAAGATTCACATCTGAGACCCATTAAAGCCATGTATGGTAAGTGACTAACGGTTCATACCTCGGGCCTGTTTTGTGCAAAGATGCCCACGAACTGATCGGGGGATGCCTTGAAGCCTTTCTCGAGCAGTGCTGAGCCCACACATTCAGCCAACTCTGCAACCTACAGCAGGAGGAGACAGCATCGTCAGCCCACCAGGAGCAACAAAGCTTCCTAGTGACCAGTCCCGTCCCTAGGCTACCGCACGGTGCTGTGCAGACGCGGAGGAAAGTAATAAGCAGAGAGTTCATCATCTACAAATGTTCAACAAAAAGGGTTTAATGCAACAGAATTCCTATTGTTTGGTAGGAAAAGAGAAACAGCAAGTTTTTCGAGAGTTTGAGAATAAAAAAAGAACAAGCTTCTATCATTAGGCTCTGCAATTCTATTTCTGAGAATGTATTCTTAGAAAATAATTCAATCTAAGGAGAGAGGGTGTTTGAAGAGAGTTTTAAAAGCCCTTCTTAGGGAGTTCTGGTGACTTAGTGGTGAGGCATTTGCACTACCAGTATTCAAGTATGTGGCTTGAATCCACCAGCTTCTCCATGGGAGAAAAATGGGCAATCTCCTCCCATGTGATTTACTGCTTCTGAAAACCTGCTGGAGGGTCAGCTATGAGTTATCTCTGATTCAACAAGACATAACAACAACACATGTATTTAAAAATGATCTACAATTGCAAAACTGGAGGAAAAAGAAACCAGTTAAGCGAATGGTGGTAAATCTCTATGAAAATGCTATCTATCTACTAGGATACTACTATTATAAAGACCTATATAATTTAGCAGACTCCCTGTAACTAAATAAAGGAGCTTTGATGGTCCAAGTGGTTAAGCTACTACCTACTAATACAAAGGTAAGAGGTTCAATCTTACCTGTCACACCACAGGACAAAGATAAGGTAGTTTGCTTCAGGAAAATTGATAGGGTGCAGGACACTCTGATCTACAGGGTCCTGGGGCCAGTATCAACTCCAAAGCAGTGAGTTTGGATCTATCTTCTGGCTATCAGTAACAATGTTGAATACATTTTAAAAATTGTACACTAAGGTGCGTCTGATACAGGCCATGGTCTTTGATATCCTTGTTATGCATCAGAGAGCTGGACAATGACTAGGGAGGATAGAAGGAGAATTGATGCCTTTGAGCTGTGATACTGGAAAAGAGTATTGAATGTACCATGGACTGCCAAGAAAACAAACAGATTCATCCTGGAGAGGGTTAAACCAGGCTGCTCCTTGGAGGCAAGGATTCTGGGGCTTTGCCTGACATACTCTGGACATGTTGTAAGGAGAGACAGGTATTTAGAGAGGGACATCATGCTAGGCAGAGTGGAGGGACAGCGCAGGAGGGGAAGACCCTCTATGAGGTGGACTGATTCAGTGACTGTGGTAATCGGGATGGGTGTGTCAGAGGCAATGAGATTGGCACAGGATAGAGCAGGGTTTAGGGCTGTTGTACATAGGGTCGCTATGAGTCGCAAATGACTCGACGGCACATAACAACAACAACAACGTATATATTATACCTATATTAAAAATAGGTATATTATAGAGAAACTATGCGAATATAGAGAATGGATTTACCCTTTTCACACATCACCTTAATAAAGTATACTTTTTTAAAAAAATCTTAGGTTTTTGGGGTTCTTTCCTTAGTTGCTTGTTCTCAAGGGTACAGGCTGACCCACATTCACAGAAAATAAAGCCACCCCCATTCGTGCCCTGGAACCCCATGGTCTGGTGTATAGGGCCACCCTGAGCGCCACCCATAGAAATGAGAACTTGCACTGATGAGGTGACATCAAGAACAGCTTTACCATGCTTGTTGTCTGCATACTCCCTGGACTACTTCACAACTCTTGCTTACATTTAAGGAACCTTAGAACTGCTTGCAATTATTTCTAAAGTTGATTAGGATAATACACATGTGCTTGAGTATCTAGAGAAAGTCTACACTTTGTCTCAAAACACCTCAAACAGGTTTCTAGCTTTCAAGAAGGTCAGAATTACAGGTAGTTCTCAATTTACCACAGGGTTCCGCTATCCTAAGCTGGATGTGACCTAAGTCAACTATCTCATTCTTTTTTCCTTTTCATTATGATTTCTCTGGTGAACGGATCCACGGGGAGTTGCATTGTTCAGTCAAAGGCTGCTCCTCTCTGGTGGTTCAAATCCACCAGCAGCTCCTCACAAGTAGACAAGTGATCACTTCCTGTGGGGTTCAGGGCCTTGGAGAACACAATGGAGGGGTCAGCTATGAACTGGTTCCCACTCAACGGCAATGAGTTTTTAATTATCAGAATCTTAAAAAAATCTGCTATTTCTTCCCTTTGGTACACGCTGCAAGACTGTACATGGTCATGTGCTCTAATCCTAAAATGTTAAAAAGAACCAACCAGGCACTTCCAAGTGTGGCTGTTCATACCTAGAATACATCTAAAGTTAGGGATTACTTACATTACTTATATTACTTATATACTGGAAAAAAGAAACATGCAAATTCCAAGTTGGTGTCAGGAAGTCCAGTTTTACACCTTTATCAGTCTCTGAAATGTACAATATAAAGACTGTCATCTTAAGAAACCCTAATAATTGTCAAGGAAGCTCTTGTGCCATATTTCTGTAGGGGGCGGTGCCGCTAACGCAAAGGTGGGGTCCTCCTAGCAGTTCTCATCTGCCAGCAGTTTCACGGGAGAAAGATGGACAATCTCTGCCCTTGCAACTTACAGCTGCTACGAGTCAGTTTCAACTCAATGACAATGGATTTGAGTTGGTCTTTCTTTAAAAAAAGAACTTTCAATCTGCCTTGAGAAGCCAATCAGAAATGCTGTATCTTCCCTCATCTAGCTAACAAATACGAGAGGTAATGCAGGAAGCACATGCCCATTGACTAGTCTGTGAGGCCTTACTTAAACATGGGAGCATCTCACAAGGTCGTATGCTCAACACAGATGAAATGTTGTTACATCATTTGTGAAAATGAAGGATGTTGGAAATTGCTGGGTAGCTATTCGGCTTTGGTAAGGAAAAATAAAGGAGCCTGGGGGCACAACAGATTAGAGTTGGGCTTCTGACCAAAGTGGCTTTCAAGCTATCAGTCACTCTTCTGGAGAAAGATGAGACAGTATGATTCTGAACAGATTCACAGCCTTGGAAATGAGATGGGGTGGTTCTAGCCTGTCCTACAGGATCACTATGAGTTGGGAAGGACTTGGTAACAGTAGTTGAGGGGAAAGAAAGCTAAAGACATGCCTGAAATTTGGCTTGTTCCTTTTACAGGAAAACATTTACTGAAGTCAGCTTCAAATTTATATATTTAAGCTATTTTTCACTAGCCCAAATTACGTGGTCCCTGATTTTAGATGTATTCAAGGTATAAGAAACCTTACTTAGAACTGTCTTTAAAAAAACACCACATCACAAATATTTTATGATTAGAACACGTGACCACATAAGCTGTTACAACATGTTACAACAAATTTCCTGACTTTACCATTCATTCTTGGATGCAATACTTCCATTGTCCAAAGACTAAAGATCAGATTTTTAACAATATTGGTTATAACAACTCATTTGTCATTTAGTAGGGACTTGACTCATATGCTGTTTCATCTAGTCACTCTCTTGATAGAGATGAAATACTCTGCCAAACAAAGCCTTTTGCATTTTGCTGACCATAACTGGGGTAAGCTCTAGGCTAGTAAACAAACGGCAGCTCAAGCTCCCCCAGGAAGTTCCTGAGAACAGAGACCCAGCCCTGATCTCCTTCTGAAAAGTCTGCCACTGAAAACCTGCAGAGCACAGTTCTCATCTGTCACACACTGGCCACGAGTCACAGTCAACTCCGTGGCAACCTGCTATTTCCGCCCTGGAGGAGGGAAGGGAAGAAAGTCTGTGTGTCAGTCTAGGCCTCAAGCCTCCAAATGGACACCTCCCATAATACACCGGGCACTACAAACACCTTTCACACAAAACCTAAAAGTGAATCTGCATAGCTGAATGTCCCAGGAATTACCTGCTCTGGGAGCAGGAAGAGCCAAGGAGGAGCAGGAGCCCAGGGACAGAGTCATTTCCTGGACAGCTGGATGGGAACAAAGGCAGCCAGCTTTTGTTGACTCCCACAGCTGCTCCTGCATGTTCTCAGGGCACTGCTGGATCAGGGGTGAGCAGCTTCTAGATATGTTATGAAAGTGCTAAAAACAAAAATAACAAACAACATCTTCCTGCTCTGCTACCTGCGATTGATAAAAGTACTGTTTGAACAGCTGCCATTGTGAACCATTGCAGACTGATTAAGAGTCAAAATATTCAGATCCCAGCACCCTAGGTGTTAAGATAAGCACACAGGCATCTTCTCTAGACAAGCGTGCTATTCTCTGAGGCTGCCCAGTGTTAACATCACCCAGTTTCAACATGTTTGTGAACAGTGCTGAGTGCCAGTATGAAGAACTGGAAAGGCCTACAAGATGAGCCCAGACCTCACATTCCATCCTGGTCCTGCCAGTGGCCAAGTGTGACCTTAGAGTCATAAACCACTTTCTTGGGGCATGATTTCTTATCTATAAAATGAGAAGGGTACCCTAGACTGAAGCTTTTATATTCTTCCAGCACTCCACTCAGGCAGAGAGGATTAAAATACTTCCACAGAGGTCTAGGAGAAAAGCCACCTACATCAATCACATTTCTAGAATGTTCTTTTACAATCATATTCTAATTTTGAACAACCAGTAGCTTACTTAGCTCCCCACTGGAATCAAGTTGATTCCAATTCATGGTAACCCTCTCTATCAGGTTTCCAAGGCTCTAAATCTTTATCAAAGAAGTCTGCCATCTTTCTCCCACAGAGCAGGTAGGGTATTTGAACCATTGGCTTTTCAGTTAGCAGGAGAGCAAGTAACACATTAAGCTACAAGAGATTCTTTAAATTACTTAGCTAGTTTTAACTAAGGGACCTCTGGAGGTCTAATACATAGGGAGTGGTGTTGCTAATCTAAAGGAAGCCAGTTCAGACCCATCAGCAGCTCTGTGGGTGAAAGATGGGCAAGCTCCTCCCATCAGAAAACCTGCTGGAAGGTTAGTAGGAGTCAGATCCGACTTGACAGCAAATGAGTATGAGTATGAACGGGAGTAGAACTTTCTAAATCTTTTCGTGTAAAGCTTCTGTATGAAGTTCTTTATTTATCCTAAAGATTTGAGGTAGCACAGTACATATACTTTCTAGAAATCCTTCATCCTTATTATTCAATGGCTCCAAAGAGGAGATGTTTAAGCACTGCAGCTTACACACACAATCATAACAGAAGATAAAATCTCACCTCTTTATACGAAAGCCATTCATAGGGTTGGTCTGGCTTCCGAGAACCTAAACAAGGTCCATTATCTGAAAAAGAAAAAAGCAGTGAAAAGGCAAAAGATTAACTTAATTAGTATAAACAGTCTTAATTTGTATCCCACTTCTGGTACTCACATTGCTAGATTGTGACTGAAAATGTTTTATCCCTGCATTTTGGTCTGATATTTTGTTTCTACTTTGCTTCTTAAACACAGCTGGACAATGATGGGAAAGACAGAAATGGCAAACACAATTTGCAGGACACTCAATTTATTAATTTCTCTGTTGTACCCTACTGTCTTATCATAAAAGTAAGTACCTGAGTGGTAAAAAGCTCTAGGTATAGGTTTTCACAAGAGTGATTTTCAAAAGAAGTTTTAAAGCATTTTATCTCAGAGTATGAAAAGGAAAACACAACTTTCAAGAAGCTCTTACAGCTTAATGGTAAGAAGCTGTGCTGCTAACACAAGGGTAGGCAGTTTAAATCCACTAGAAGTTCTGAGGGAGAAGGATGGGCCATCTCCTCCCATAAGATTTACAGCCTCTGAAAATCCACTGGAGAGTCAGCTATGGGTCGGTTATGACTGGACAGCAAAAAACAACAACAACAAAAATTCTGGGTATAAAAAGTATCCAAAATTGCCTGGAATCCTAAACATTCAGGTTAAGACTTGATGATACAGAAACAAAAATCAAGATAAGATTGCAATCCACGTGTGCATCAAAAACTTTTTCCAACAGGGTGAAAATAAAATCTACTGACTGGGAACAAACATTTGGTAATACCATCTCAGACAAGAGTCTTATAACAAGAGTTTACAGAATACTCTTGAGCATTTACAAGAAAAAGACTGATAACCCAATTACAAAATGGACAAAAGACATGGAAAGAATATTCACAGAGGAAGATATTCTAATGGCAGACACATGAAGAAATGCTCCAAATCACTGGCAGTAAGATGTAAAGCAAAACCACAATGAGAGTATCTTACTCCAGTAATCGTGGCAAAGTTTAACAGGGCAGCAAGTAATAGATGCTGGAGAGGATGTGGTGAGAAAGGAAGTCTTATACTGTCGGTGGGATTGTAAAATGGTGCAACCACTCTGGAAGGCTGTTTGGCGCTTCCTCAAAAAGTTGAACACAGAAATTCCATGTGACCTAGCTATTCCACTACTTGGAATATACCCTCAGGAAATGAGAAATGAGGCACAAAGATTTGTACACCAATGTTCATAGAAGCATTATTCACCATTGCAAGAACATGGAAACAGCCCAAATGTCCAACCACAAATTAATGGATTGAGAAATTATGGTACTTTCACACAACAGAATACTATGCAGCACACAGGAGCAATGATTTTGTAAATTATTACGTAACTTGGGAGGTACTGGAGGGCATTATGCTGAGTGAACTAACTCAGTCCCACAAGGATAAATACTGTTGGCAGGGGAAAGGGGGGATTAATCATGAGATTGTATAATTTGATGGGTGAGGGATGAGAGAAACTTAAAGAATTTGTTCTTGAAAACAATGTAATAGAATTTTGTAAATAAACTATATACAATAGCCCTAAACCCTGCTCTATCCTCCTCCAATCTTACTGTCTCTGACATGCCTATCCCCATTACCCCAGTGACCGAATTAAACCATCTCAGAGAAGGTCTTCCTCTCCTACATTGTCCCTCCACCCTCCCAAGAATGCCGTCCCTTTCCAAGGATTGGTCCCTTCTTGCAACATGTCCAAAATATGTCAGACAAAGCTTCAGAATCCTCCAAGGAACAGCCTGGCTTCACCCTCTCCAGGATGAACTTGTTTGTTCTCCTAGCAGTCCATGGTATATTCAATAGGAGGGAAAAAAAAGATGCAACAACCTTGCTTGTTGAAAGTGAGGAGGACCTGAGGGAATTGCTGCTGAAGGTCAAGGACTACAGCCTTTAATATGGATTGAAGTTCAACAAAAAGAAAACAAAGACTCTCACCACTGGGCCAACTGGTAGCATCATAATAGATGGAGAAGAGAATGAGACTGTTAACAGCTTCAGTATGCTTTACTCTATTATCCACATTCTTGGTAACAGCACCCAGGAAATCAAAAGACAGACTGCACTGGGAAAACCTGCTTTCAGGGACCTCTCCAGAGTACTGAAGAGCAATGATGTCAATCCAGGGACTACAGTGCATCTGATCAAAGCCATAGTCTTTGCAATTACTTGCTACGTGTCAGAAAACTGAACAATGACTAAGGATGACAGAAGAAGAACTGATGCCTTTATGGACTGCTAAGACAACACAGTCAACACTCTTGGCACCAGTAGCCAGGAAATAAAAAAACTTATCGCAATGGGAAAGTCTGCGGTTAGGGACCTCTCTAAAGTACTCAAGAGCAACGGTGTCTCTCTGGAGACTAAGATCCGCCTGATACAGGCCATGGTTTTTGCAATCATTTGTTATGCATCAGAGAGTTGGACAATGACTAAGGAGGATAGAAGGAGAATTGACGCCTTTGAGCTGTGCTGCTGGAGAAGAGTATTGAATGTAACGTGGACTGCCAAGAAAACAAACAGATTCATCCTGGAGAGGGTTAAACCAGGCTACTCCTTGGACGCAAGGATTCTGGGGCTTCGTCTGACATACTTTGGACATGTTGTAAGGAGAGACAGGGCCTTGGAGAGAGACATTATGCTTGGTAAGGTGGAGGGACAGCGCAGGAGGGGAAGACCCTCTATGAGGTGGATTGATTCAGTGACTGGGGTAATCGGGATGGGTGTGTCAGAGGCCATGCAATTGGCACAGGATAGAGCAGGGTTTAGGGCTGTTGTACTTAGGGTCGCTATGAGTCGCAAACGACTCGACGGCACATAACAACAACAACAACAAGACAACAAACAAATCTGTCCTCAAGAGGGTGAAACCAGGCTGCTCCTTGGAGGCAAGGATTGTGAATCTTTGTCTCACATACTTTGGATATATTTTGGGAGGGACCAATCCTTGGAGTCGGACATCATGCATGCTTAGAAGGGTGGAGGGTCAGTACAAGAGAGGAAGATCCTAGATGAGATGGACTGACTCAGTGACTAGAATAATGGGGGAAGTGTGTCAGGGACAACTAAATTGGCTCAAGACAGAACAGGGTTCGGAGCTGTTGTACACAGGGTCATTATGAGTCTTAAGCAACTCAACAGCACATAACAATGGAACATTTATCAAACCAAAGGTTAAGAAATAATCTCTCAAGATCTTCACTCAAATTTAGGGACAGAATTAGTAGAAAGAAAGAAAAATTATAATATTATGCACACACTGAGGTAGAACATGAAGTCTCTGTATAGTATAACCAGTTAAGCACTCTACTGTTAACTGAGAGGTTGGGGGTTTGAACCCACCCAGAGAAGTCTTCTTGAGAGACAAATCTGCCCCTAGCTACCTAAGAGAGTCTTAAAAACCCTGTGGAGTGGTTCTACTCTGTGAGCATCACATCATCATGAGTCAGAATCAACTTAACAGGAACTGGGTTTTGGTTTAGGGACTAGTACAGTAATAACAATAATCTCAAATGATTTCTATCTCAATAGTAACTGGATAGCAAGTTTTTAAATTTCTAAAATATTGTGAGTTCATGGTTATCAATTGGAAATTCAGGATCTTTTTAAAAAATCCCTAATGGGAGCTCTGATGGCCTAGTGGTAAGAAGCTGCACCGGCAGCAGCTCTGCAGGAGAGGGCTGAGCAATCTCCTCCCATGCAATTAACTGCCTCTGAAAATCCACTGGAGGGTCAGCCGTGGGCTGGTTCCAACTCAGTGACACACAACAACAGTAAGAAAAACAATCTCAAATGATTTCTATCTGGAATTACACAAGTGTCTTTTTACAGATTAATCCCAAACTCACTTGATGTTCACTTTGCAGTAGCTGAGAACACATCAGAAGTGGGTAGTTCTTTAAGAGAAAGCCCTGGACATCTAAAAAAATGCTGCCACATTTAGATGGTCAGAGTTGCCTACATCTATAGGCTCCTGTATCAGCTCCATGTCTCTCTGTTAGGAAAGCAGCACCTTTCACATGGAAATCCGATGTGGGATGTTTGGCCACCTCCCACCTGACCAGGGCATCTGCATAACACACTTGGCCTCATCATCCCAGATAAGAGTGTCAGTTAGGAGCTCTGAGTGCATCTGGAGTTTCGTGGATCAGGGAAGTGAAGCAGAGAATGCTCCCATCTGGGCCCTGGCTAGCCTGGCCCTGATACATGGTCAGGTCCTACAGGAGAGTGTGAGGCACACATGGTTTTGAGAACTAGTTAAGAAGGCAGGCAGAACTCAGAGGCCCAAAAAACACACCTTCTTCCCCAGGCCTTCCGGACTAGCTGTAAAGGCATCCTGACAAAATCAGATAGAAGGACCAGGTGGGTTTTGTATCCAGACCTCAATCAATTAAAAGTGATTAGCAACTATTAGAATTAATGAAGCCAGGGGCAGAACATGGCAATTCCATCAGATGCTATTGTCACATGAAAAAGAAAACACTCTCAACTCAAAAAACTCAAAGCTATGACCATTGAGTCAAAAACAACTAACAGAAGACCCTCCAGTGGGTTTTCAGAGGCTGTAAAGAAGGGTGCCCATTTTTTTCTTGTGGAGCAGCTGGTAGATTCAAACTGTCCACCTTTAGGTTGGCAGCACAATTCTCTATCCACTAGGTCACCAGGTGCTATTGTTGTATATCACTGAGTTGGAACCAACTCATAACTGACCTTCCAGCAAGTTTTCAGAGGTCTTAAATCACATGGAAGGAGACTGCCCATCTTTCTCCTAAAGAACAGCTGATGGATTTGAACCATGTGCCTTTGGGTTGGCAGTGAAGCTCCTTCCCACTAAACCACCAAAGTGCCCTGAAAATATCCCAATCATATGAAATATTATTTTATTCCTCAAGAAGAGGGACTGGCAAACTAAAGCCAGGGGCTAAACCAGGCTACTGCCTGTTTTTTGCAAAGACAGTTTTATTGGAACACAGTAACATTCATTTACACACCATGCAAAGGGCACAGTAGAACAGTTGTAATAGACCATATGGCCCACAGACCCTAAAATATTCACACTCTGGCTCTTTTTTTAATGGGGGGAAAATTTGCTGATTGTGTTCTGAACAGAGAACCATTAGATTTACGTAAGGAACCTAAAAATACTATACTGAGTCCTTCCTAACAGGCATTCTGAAAAATATAACTGGACAGGGATGGGATCTAGGCCTCCGTGTTTTTAAAAAGATCCCCAGGTGAGGGTAACGAGCAGGTAAGGCTGAGAATCACAGATAAAGTGGGAACTCAATCTTTACAAAGGGTTTCCTAGGCATCTTTTAAAATACTAGGTTTAAAACTCAGTTGGCTTCTCACATTGTTCGTCAAACTTCTAATCATATTATCCAAATACTGGCTCTTCAAAACTAATTCTATAGCAGAAAATCTCGTCATAAAATGATCCTCAGAATTTTCTCAGTGTGGGAGTTGGGGAGGGGTACAGAGTGTAACTGCAAAGCAGTTCCTTCCATTTGTATTGTTGTTATGTGCTGTCCTGTCAACGACTCACAACAACCTCATGAACAATGGATCCGAGGCAGGCCCAATCCCAGGCCATCCTCATTATCTTTGACATAACTGAGCTCATTGCTACAGTCACTGTTTTCTTGATGTTGAGATGTAATCCACATTGAAGGCTGTATATATAGTCTTTGATCTTGTCCAGCAAATGTTTCAAGTCCTTGCTTTCAGTAAGGAAGGTTATATTTTCTATGTAAGACGGCTTGTTAATGAGTCTTCCTTCTCTCCTGTTGCCACATTCTTCTTCATAAAGTAAAGCTTTCTGAATCAACGTTTTCAGTATACAGACTGGATAGGTATGGTATGGAGAAAGGGTAAAGCCCTGATGCACAACTTTCTCAATTTTAAACGATGTAGTGCTCCCTTGCTCTGTTCAGACAACAGCTTCTCGGCCCAGGTATAAATTTCATGAGAGCACAATCAAGTGTTCTGAGATTCCCATTCTTCTCAACATTAGTCACAGTTTTTTATGATCCAAATAGTTATATACCTCTGCAGTCAATAAAACACAAACAGATAACCTCTGCTAATCTCTGCTTTCAGCCAGGATGCATCTGGCACCAGCAATGATATCCCTGGTTTCACAGTCTCTTCTAAATCCAACTTGATTTTCTGGTAGTTCTCTGTTGTGCTGTTTTAGTCATTTTTAGAAAATTTCCACAGATTTGTGTCTCTCTCTCTTACACCGCCCCCCCCCCAAAAAGACTACCAGGAAAACTTTGTTTTGATTACTATACTATTAAAAAAATTACATTGTGTGGATCATAACAGCTCAAGGATAATATTATGATGAATGGGAATCCTACAACACTTAATTGTATTTACAACAAACCTAAACATAGACCAAGAAGCAGTTATTTAAGGTGAACAAGGGGACACTGCATGGTTTAACATCAGGGAAGGTGGAGACAAGGTTATCTTTTTTCACCATACTAATTCAATCTGTCAGGGACCTCTCCAGAGTCCTAAAAAGAGTCAGTCTAGAGACTAAGGTGTGCCTGATTCAGGCCATGGTCTTCACAATTACTTGCTATGCATCAGCGATCTAAACAACAACTAAAGATGACAGAAGAAGAATCTATGCCTTTGAGTTGTGGTGCTGGAGAAGAGTATTGAATATACCATGGACTGCTAAGAGAACAAACAGGTCCATCCTAGAGAAGGTGAAACCAGGCAACTCCTTGGAGGCAAGGATTTTGAAGCTCTGCTTACATACTTCGGGCATGTTGCAAGGAGGGGCCAGTCCTTTGAGAAGAACATCATTCTTAGGATGGTGGAGAGACAGCACAAAAAGGAAGACCCTAAATGAGATGGATTACTTGTGACTTGGTTAATGGGGGTAGAGGTGTCAGAGACAGTGAAATCTGCTTGAGAGAGAACAGAGTTCAGAGCTATTGTACATGAGGTCACTGTAAGTCTGAGTTGACTCGATGGCACATAACAAAAACAGCAAACAATATTCAATCTGTATGCTGAGTAAATACTGAAAAAGTGGACTATACAAAGAAGGACATGGCATCAGGAATAGAGGAAGATTCACTAATAACTTGGAGTGAGGTATGCAAATGACACAACTTTGCTTGCTGAAGTAAAGACATGCAAGAGAAAGATGGGCAATCTCTTCCCATGTGATTTACAGTGTGGAGTGCTTAGTGAGAGTCAGCTGGTTCCAACTCAATGGCAATGAATGAGTTTTTGATAAAGATCAAAACTCAACATAAAGTTATTGTACTCTACAAATATTTAGTAATACATATATTTCACCAATGCGATAATCTAGAATTAAGTTTCTTTTCCCTGCATACCCCTGACACTGAGTCAATTCTGACTCACAGCAACCCACCACTGAGCTCCTAAAGATGTAAATCTTAACAGGAGAAGCCTGCCTTGTTTTCTCCCTGTAGGGTAGCTCGTAGTTTCTAAGCTTCATCTTTTTGGTTAGCAGCTCAACATGTAAACTTTTACATCTACAGAGGTCCTTACCCCTGGCCTAGTGGGTAAGGAATTGCATGGCCAACTCCAAAGTACATGGTTCGAATCCACAAGCTGCTTCATGGAAGAAAGATGGTCAAGTTCTCCCTGAGCATTTTATATATATTGTTGTTGTCACGTGTCGTCCAGTCAGAGACGACTCATAGCAACCCTACGAACGAAAGTCCTCAACACTTGCGTGACTTTCATACTTTCTCCAGGTTCATAGGGTTTCCGGAGGCAAGGTATTTATGGAAGTGGATGCCACTCCTGCTTCCAAGCTTGTTTTAATCGGAGAGCTCCACCAAACACTGTCCACCATGGGTAACCATTATCACATTTGACACATTGGTGTAACAGTGTTCAGCTTCACAGCAACCACAAGTTACCTCTGTACGGCAAGTGGACACACCAGGTCTATATGACCTATAAGAATGTTCGATCAAAAACAATTAAAAACAGGCCATTGGGCTCTATTTTACCATTTGCATGCCCAAATGTTGATGAACTCTGGGCCAGGGACCCCCAATTCATCTCGCAAGTCTGCTTTAAGGACACCCACTTAGGGCAAAAAAGAAAGCCACAAGTGCCCCAGTGCTCCATACTTGCCTCTCTTCAAGACCTAAGAGGCTGCATCCATTCATCTGACACTGAAATTCTCAAAAAAACAACTGGAGGGTCAGCTCTGAGTCAGTTTTACACTAGACAGCACATAACAACAACAAAATGAAGTTGCTACCATATAGACACCTTTAAGTATCAGAAACATCAGGACAAGCTGAACTGAACAATTCAATTATACCAACATCAAGTAAAAAAAAACGGCACATAGTTAGCACAACACCTTCTGGGGCTAAAGAAAGCAATAACACACAGTCTCTGACTCTAAAGTGATTGCAATTTAGCTAGCATGGACAAAAATAAAAGTTAACCCCTAGAAGATTTAAATAAGAAAACATGGATCCTATATACCATTTCTAGAGAAGAACCTGGTAGAAGCAAAAACAAAGAGGTTGAAACAAATAATGGAAGGGAGAGGAGAGCAGAGGTATTTTCCCCTCCACTTCAGATACTTTCAATGGGGCTATTATTGTGCTCCAGGCACTGTATAGGTGATGAGAGAGGTGCTGATTGATGAGTGGGTGCCCTGTTCTCCAGTACACGCTGATGGGCAGGACAGTGAGTCAACACCCGATAAAGGACAGTGCTGTTACCAAGGCAGGAGAATGCTGGGACAGAAACAGTGTAAAATGCTTCACTTGAAGGTAAAAGAGAAGTGAAAGCTTTTTGTTTTGGTTTTTTTTTTTAAATGGAGGAAAATGTGAGATGAGTTTTGACAGGTAAGTAGGAATGCATGAACTATACTGGGAGAGTGGGAAGAAGAGCCTCTATGTATAGAGGCAAAAGTGCACAAATTCTAGGCCTTGTGAGAAAGCAGAGCTCGTCATGGCTTTGCAGAAGGTTCCATGCAGCTCCAGAGAGGCCTGGACAGGAGAGAGGGTACAATGAAGGTACCTAGCAGGTAACATGGGGTTTCTTGTGCCACAGTTAGTAATTAAGCCTAATCCCATCTGCAGCATTTCCTAAAGTGTCTGATGGAATGCTGCTTCATTGGGAATGTCAGTATTTTCTTACCAAATAGGAGTTTCACTGTTAACTGAGTTTGAAAAAAATGCTAGAATGAGCCCAGTGAAACAGGTTCTTTTGGAACTCTGTCACAGCTTATAATGTTCTAGTAATGTAAGGAAAACAGTCCATCAAATACTCAACTCAAAACTCAACCTATTGCTGTTGAGTTGGAACTGACAAACAGCTGACCCTCCAGGGGATTTGCAGAGGCTGTAAATTCATGGGACGAGACTGCCCATTCTTCTCCTGTGGAGCAGTCAGTGGACTGAATTGCTTACCTTTGGGGTGGCAGTGCAACTCCTTACCAAGTGAGACCCCTCTCTCTACAGAGAAGGCCTAGAGGGTCTATTGTCTTTAGAACTCACTTTGGAAACCTTAAGAAGGAATCAGAGAGATGTAAATGAAACCAAGTAGGCAGTGGTGAAAAGAAATCAGCTGCTATCCCCAAAGGTCAGCAGTTTGAACTTAGTATCCACTCCAAGACAGAAGGACAAGGTGGTCTGTTTCTGTAAAGATTACAGGGTCTAAAACCCTTTGGGATCCTGTCTTGTAGCTTAACTGTGTCCTGTAGGGTCTCTACGAGTGTAAGTAAACTCGATGACAGTGGCCATGATAAGTAGGCAACAATCAAGAGCAAAAGACGCCTTTCTTAAAGAAAATTACATAGTTCCATATCTTTTTTAATGGAAATTACAAAGCATTAGTCACACAAATAAGGTAAATGCTTACTTGACACCTGTATACCCCTCTGGAAGCCTTCATATAATGTTTTGACGTCACCATAGTAATATACCAAGGGCTCATCACTATCAAGTAACGCGGATCTTCGAGCACCGCCAGTACCCTGTAGAAAAAAGGAAACAGAGGAGCATGTTAGAAGGAAGCATAAAAATCCCAACCACGTGGCTCTGTGGAAATTTCACATGCCCCTCCATGGAATCCTGCATGACAGCTGTGAGGGTATTTTTTTCATGACTAAAGCACAGCGTAGCTGGTGGGCTAATATAAGTCAGTCATTCCCCTAGAAAGAAATAGGGCTAAGACAAATGGCTGTCCGGGAGACCCTTAAGACAAACAAACAACTGAGGGGGCCAGGGAAGAGGACCCCAGCCCTATAAACTCCAGTCCTGCCAAAGAAGAGGAGAGAGCACAGGGAAGAAGGGGAGAGCTGGCACACACACACGCTGTGATCATTCTCAAACTGATGCATCAAAAGCAAAGCACAGAGCATGGGTGTTGTTAAGCTCTTGGGGAAATGACACTTTGCTCCATTTTATTTCCTTGGCATTACTGTTGTTGTTGTTAAGTACCTTCAAGTCAACTACAACTCATATGAACAGTGGATCTGAACCTTCCCCTGTCCTGCACCATCCTCAGTCTCCCCATGCTCAAGCCCATTGTCACAGTCTCTGTGTCATGCCATCTCGTTGAAAGTCTTCCTTTCTTTCCAAGCATGATCTCATGCTGCAAGTATGTGAGACAAAGTTTCACCATCTTTGCCTTAAAGAGTACTCTGGTTATACTTCCTCCAAGACAGATTCATTTGTTTTGTTGGTTGTTGTTGTTGTTGTGTACCATACAGTTAGAAATGACCCATAACTGACCCTCCAGCAGGTTTTTGGAGGCAGTTAATCTAACAGGAAGAGACTGTCCATCCAGGGCAGCTGGTGTTCTCGAATCATGTGCTTTCAAGATTGCAGCACAGCTTCTTGTCACGAGGCCACAAGAACTCTCTTTGTTTTGTTGGTAGTTCAAGGTATATTCAATCTGTAGGCTGAGCAAATAATTTGAGAAACAGAACTACAAGAATACGAATATGACCTCAAGAATGGATGAAGACTCATCAGCAACATGCATTACACAACTCTGCTTGCAGAAAGTAAAGAAGACTTGAAGCACTTACTATAGAAGATAAAAAAGCTACAGCCTACAATATGGATTACATCTCAACTTTAAGAAAACAAAAATCATCACTCTTGGACCAATAGGCAATATCATGATAGATGGAGGAAAGATTGAAGTTGTCAACAATTTCAATTTACTTGAGCCCACAATCAACATCCATGGAAGTAGCAGTCAAGGAATGAAAATATTTGTTGCAATGGGAGATTCTGCTGTTAAGGACCTCTTCAAAGTGCTAAAGAGCAATGAGGTCAGTGTAAAGACTAAAGTGAACTTGACTCAATCCATGATGTTTTAATTTGCTTCATTCACAGGGTCTCTATTATGAGTCACCTACATCTTGACGGCATTTAATAACAATAACATCAATAACATAGAGCTCAGTTGGCCTAGTGGACAGAAAGTGATGCTACCAAGCCAAAGGTCGTATAGCCCTGGTGTGTCTACTTGCCATACAGAGGTAACCTGCGGTTGCTGTGAAGCTGAACACTGCGACAATGATGTGTCAGCAGTGTTTGGTGGAGCTCCCTGATTAAAACAAGCTTGGAAGCAGGAGTGGCATCCACTTCTGTAATAGCCTGTCTCTGGAAACCCTATGTATGAACATGGAGAAAGGATTAAAGTCACACAAATGTTGAGGACCTTTGTTCATAGGATCGCTATGAGTCGCCTATGACTCGACGGCACTTAACAACAACATGCTTTGGAAAGTTGGACAATGAATAAAGAAGGCAGGAGAAGAATCCATGCCTTTGTAGTGTGCTGGCTAAAAGTATTGACTACATTCAAATACATGCACTGACAACTAGAACCAAAGAGGAGGAAATAGAAGACTTCTACCATCTTTTGCAGTCAGAAATAAATTGAACATGCAATCAAGGTGCACTTATGATAATGGGTGATTGGAATGCAAAAGTTGGGAAAAGGGAAGGATCAGTAGTTGGAAAATATGGACTTAGTGACAGAAATGAGTCTGGAGACAGAATGATAGAATTCTGCCCATTCAATGATCTATTCATTGCAAATACCTTTTATAAGAAACACAAACGCAGGCTATACACATGGATCTCACCTGATGGCATGCATAGGAATCAAATAGATTGCATCTGTGGAAAGAATTACTAGAGAAGCTCAATATCAGCAGTGAAAACCAGGCCAGGTGCTGATTGTGGGACAGGCCACCAACTATTCATATGCAGGTTCAAGTTGGAGTTGAAGAAAATTAAATCCACAGGAACCAAAATTTGACCTTAAGTCTACGCGACCCAAATTTCAAAACCATGTCAGGAACAGGTTTGAGGCCTTCAACACCAATGAGTGAAGACCAAATGAGCTGTGAGAGGATATCAAGAATATCGTCCAAGAAGAATGCAAAAGGTCATTACAAAGGCAGAAGAGGAAGAAATGGATCAAGATGGATGTCAGACGAGACTCAGAATATTGCATTAGAACACCGAGAAGCCAAAGCTAAAGTAAGAAATTAAGACATTATAGAGCTGAACAGAAACTTTCAAAGGGCAACTTGGGAAGACAAAGCAAGATACTATAATGAAATGTGCAAAGAGCTGGAGTCAGAAAATCAAAGGGGCCGAACTCGCTCAGCATTTCTTAAGCTGAAGGAATCAAAAAACAAATTCAAGCCACTTAAGGCAGTACTTAAGGATGCTTTGGGTAGAATCTTAAATGATCCAAGAAGCATTAAAATGAGATGGAAAGAGTATATACACAGTCACTGTACCAGAAGGAATTAGCTGACACAGAAGAATTTCATGAAACAACGTATAAGCAAGAGCCTGTGGTAATGAAAGAAGATGTCCAAGCTCCTCCAAAAGAACTAGCAAAAAACAAGGCTCTGGGAGTTGACAGCATACCAGTTGACATATTTAAACAAACAGACGCTGCCCTGGATTTGCTCACCAAGTTGTGCCAAGAAATCTGGAGAACAACCACCTGGCCAACTGACTGAAAGAGATCGATATTTGTTCCCATTCCAAAGAAAGGTGATCTGACAGAGTGTGGACATTATCGAATAGTATCATTAATATCACATGCAAGCAAGATTCTGCTGAAAATGATCCAAAACCAACTGGAGCAACACATTGACAGAGAACTACCAGAAGTGCAGGCTGGGTTTAGAAGAGGCCATAGTCCTAGGGATATTATAATGTTTGATGGATCTTGGCTGAAAGCAGAGTACCAGAAGAATGTCTGTCTGTGTTTAATTGGGTGGATCACAACAAACTGTGGCTAACTCTGAGAAGAATGGGAATCCCAGAACATTTGTGCTTATGCGAAACCAAGAGGCAGTTGTCAGAACAAAGCAAGGAGACCCTACATGGTTCAAAATCGGGAAGGATGTCTGCCAGGGATGTATTCTGTCTCCACACCTTTTCAATCTATATGTAGAACAGATCATCCAGGACACTGGGCTGTATGAGGAGGAATGTGGCATCAGGATTGGTGGAAGAGTCATCAATAACCTGCATTATGCAGATGGCACAACCCTGCTTGCTGGGACTGAGGAGGTCCTAAAGCACTTGTTGAGAAGATTAAGGACTGCAGCCTTCAAATGGATTGAAGCTCAACATCAAGAAAACAAAGATTTTCACCACTGGGCCAACTGGCAGCATCATGATAGATGATGA